GTGTTGAAATGTGTAAGAGATATATTGATTGGTTGCCTCACACATGCCCCAAACTGAGAATTTGGCCCTCAACCCAGCCATGAGCCCTGACTGGGAATCCAACTGTTACCATTCGGTTCGCAAGCCAGTGCTCAGTCTACTGATCCACATCAGCTAGGGCTCATGTGAAGTTTTTTATATCTCTACAGGTTTTTTTTTGGGGGGGGGATTGGAAATGAGTTTGCAGGTTTGATCCCTGGTCAAGACACATGCAAGACTCGAGCAATGGCTTTGACTGGTGTGGCTCAGTGGGCTGGGTGTCTGCCTGCCAAGCAAAAGATCTCCAATTCCATTCCCAGTCACAGCACATGCCTGGATTTGAGGCAGGAGACAGTCAGGAGAAAACTCCAGAGGTGCTCCAGAGCTGAGATAAAGGACATTGATATAGGACAGAGACCCTGTCCTAAGACAGGTTGTTCCCGCTTTCAGGAAAAGTGCTGAATCATGGTGAATCTTGAATGCAACTGTGCAGATGTTACATGACCCCTGCTTCATTATAATAGCATTACAATAAATCAGCATTCTGGGATCCTCTTCCCTGGTGGTCAATCAAAGAAGATCATAGGAGACCACATACATAGTAGCTTTAAAGTAATGTAAGTAAACACCCAGCTCCCTGCACAAGGTGGTCTGAGACGGTGTGAACTATGTGAGCAAGGCTGAAACAAAAGGGCTTGTTTATGACTTAGCTCTGAGAGCCGCACACCATTTTCACAACACAGATCAGCTCGGTTGTGTGAAGGAGGGAGTGTACAAGGGCATGTGCATTTGGGGGACACCTTGGAGGCTGGCAGCTACACTAGGAATGTGGTTTGCTGCTGAAGGGGAGGGAGAGAGAACAGACCTCTCTACTCATCTTGAATCACTAAGCCTTCTGGGAGAACTCCAGGGTCTGTCCTGGTGTTGGGGGTGGTGAGCATCACATGGCAGTCTGTGGGTTCCCCTTACCACTATATTCAATGCCAGCCCCTCTGCTGCCATTACACCAGGACTCTGTCCCTCTCCCATGGCCCATGCTGAAAGCCACAGAATATTGAGTTTATGGTGTTCTTTCTGGGCTGTGGTGGTGGGGGAGAAACAGGGAAGGGAAACAAAACCCAAGAAATACACCTTCCTTTAAAAAAGCATAAAAGAACATCACAGTGGGTATTTATTATTGAAATCCACATAGTTTATGTAGACACTCTTCTTCACAAGCCTGGCACTGGGAGGACAGAAAGGTCATTGTTCCTGGTCATGGGGGTGGGTGTCCCCCTTTGGTGAACCCACTCCATCAGTAATAGGGTGGGTCATGCTTAGGTCGTGTCCCTCATGCAGGAGAGGGTATGATGGGGTCCTCACTAACTGCCATCTCTGTGTATTGAATTCAGCTGTGGTTCGAAGAAAAGTGTGATCTCTGGTAGCTGCTAGCACCCTTCCTTATGCTTATGCAGATGTAATGTTTACCTGGTTCTCACCCTGAGTCTTGCTGGACTCCCACCATTGGGATCATGGGAATTTTGTGCTCCTGGGCCGTTGTGGACAATATCTGGGAATGGGTGGCCAGGAATGACCAACATTGTGCATCTCCATTATCCCATTAGACTTCACAAACGAAAGTTTAAAGATACAGCCCTGGCTGGTGTAGCTCAGTGGATTGAGTGCAGGCTGCGAACCAGTGTCGCAGGTTTGATTCCCAGTCAGGGTACATGCCTGGGTTGCAGGCCATGACCCCCAGCAGCCACACATTGATGTTTCTCTCTCTCTCTCTCTCCCTTCCCTCTCTAAAAATAAATAAAATATTTTTTAAAAAGATACAGAAAGTAATAATTTGGAGATGGTGTCAGTGGTGTATGAAGCCCTGTGGGGCCCAGGTACAAGGAGAGTGCATTACAGAAGCTCCTGTGTTGTGGGCTTCATGAATGCCATTTGCAGACTGGGTGCACCTGTCACAGGAGAAACTCGGTTCTTCTTGCCAATGCACTAAAGGATTACAGATCAGCAAGTGTATTAGCGTGCAAGCAGGGTTTATTAGTGATACGTTCTCATGGAAGAGGACAGGTCTTGCTGAGGTGGGGGTGAAAGGCAAGAACACCAGGTCCTTTGCCCTGAGGACTTATATACCGGTAGTTGCTGGGATGGGGGAGAAGTTACATATCGATTGGTGGGTAAAAGTGGTGTCAGCTTCCACGGGGACTGTGACTACCCAAATGTAGGTATGTGTGGGGGTCGTTAGCCCAAATCCTTATCTCACTTCAGACCCCATTTGGTCATCTTGTAAAACAGATCTGTGACAGGAGAGCTAAAGTTGAGGCAGTTACCCAGTTACCAGTGGGCTCTTTATATAAGCATTAGGGACCCTCTCATAAAACAGTGACCAGAGGAAAGCTATTAGCCAAATTTGTTTTATGGGTCCTTTCCTTGAGTGCCATGGACCCCCTCCCATCTTCTAGGCCTTGGGACAAATACAGTTTGAAAGCCTCTCTCTGCCAGATACTGGAAATGATACCTAGAATTTCAATGTGTTAGCATGGTGTTTCTTCAGAAACACCCTCTTCAGATGTTGGAACATCTGGCAATGGGATTGAACCAGCTTCAGGACTGCTGAGTTAGTGGGTGAGACCTGTCTTCCTTGTCCTCCCTGCCTTGGCTTACCATCTATCCTCACACACCAGTGCAGGCAGGTGCTGTTCCTACTGTCAGTTCTCAGCAAGGGGTGGGCTAGGGTCTTGTTTCACAGGTCACTCTCAGAAGCACCTGCCTGTGTTGAGGAGGCTCTGAGGGTGTGCAGATCAGTGGGAGGGTGGTGACCTGGAGGGAAGTGAATCCTCGACCTCAGGCTCCTTCTCAGGGCACCTGAGTCTATGTGGGGAAAACAGTGGTATCTGCTCAAATTCTGAATTTGGTTACAGACCCCTACCCTGTCCTTATCTTTCTTTGTCTAGCACTAAAGACCTGGAAGACATGGGCACTGAAGGCTGTTCAGCAGGACTTGTGATCTCAGCGATCCTCTTGCCAGATTCTGTCTGTGCTGATTCAACTTTAAATGTCAGATGGAGTTCCCATTTCCACTGTACAGACTAGGAAGCAGGCAGAGAGTTGAGAATCTTGCCTTAGGTCACACAGCTGGAGGAGACAGAGCTGAGACTCACACCCACTATGGACTGATGTGGAATCTGTGTGCTGTGCACCAGGAAATGCTGACCCTGAAGGGGCAGCAAGGAGAGTGAGCAAGGCTCACGTACCTGCAGAAGCATACATCCCTCCCTGCCATTCACCTCTGAGGCTTCAGAGGTTGTAGGAAAGTAGAAGAGCCAAGAGAAGCCAAGGGAGGAGGGTAGGGAGCCTATTAGGAGAAAAAGGCCCCTTTCCCAGGTGTCTGGGGAATTCCCTACCGTGGTGAGTCTGTCTCAAATCCTTCTCTGGGCAGTAACCAAAGTAGAGTGACCCCAGACTTACACATTTGCAGGAGTTGAATTTCTGTGGCTGAGAGTATGGGGTTTTTGTGGCTCTTCAGGAACCTTCTGCTTTTAGTGATGGGTAGAATGAGGTATTGGGTTTCATATGCATATGGAGATAAAACATTTTAGAATAGGAGCTCAAAAATCCAGGAACAACATTGATGCTGACACCCCGTATTAGTATGGAACTGTTTCATCTCTTGTCATAAAACTGGAGGGTTTAACCAGTTACTTCTGTACTAATTACAATCTTGGGGAGAGTAAGGGACTGTAGACTACCTATGGCTATTGATATTTGACTTAATGCTAATAACTCACTCATTCTACCTGCAAACATAGGGCTTCTCCCCAGAGTGTGTCCTCTGGTGTCTGATGAGATATGACTTCTGTGTAAAACCTCGCCCACACTCCCTGCAAACATAGGGCTTCTCCCCAGAGTGTGTCCTCTGGTGTGTGATGAGATATGATTTCTGTGTAAAACCTCGCCCACACTCCCTGCAAACATAGGGCTTCTCCCCAGAGTGTGTCCTCTGGTGTATGATGAGATGTGACTTCCGTGTAAAACCTCGCCCACACTCCCTGCAAACATAGGGCTTCTCTCCTGAGTGTGTCCTCTGGTGTGTGATGAGATATGACTTCCGTGTAAAGCCTCGCCCACACTCCCTACAAACATAGGGCTTCTCCCCAGAGTGTGTCCTCTGGTGTGTGATGAGACCTGACTTCCAGGAAAAGCCTCGCCCACACTCCCTGCAAACATAGGGCTTCTCCCCTGAGTGTGTCCTCTGGTGTGTAATGAGATGTGACCGGTGTGTAAAGCCTCGCCCACACTCCCTGCAAACATAGGGCTTCTCCCCAGAGTGTGTCCTCTGGTGTGTGATAAGATGCGACTTCCGTGTAAAGCCTCGCCCACACTCCCTGCAAACATAGGGCTTCTCCCCAGAGTGTGTCCTCTGGTGTGTGATGAGATATGACTTCTGTGTAAAGCCTCGCCCACACTCCCTGCAAACATAGGGCTTCTCCCCAGAGTGTGTCCTCTGGTGTGTGATGAGAACTGACTTCCAGGTAAAGCCTCGACCACACTCCCTGCAAACATAGGGCTTCTCCCCAGAGTGTGTCCCCTGGTGTGTGATGAGACCTGACTTGCCTGTAAAGCCTCGCCCACACTCCGTGCAAATATAGGGCTTCTCCCCAGAATGTGTCCTCTGGTGTGTGATGAGACCTGACTTGCCTGTAAAGCCTCGCCCACACTCCGTGCAAATATAGGGCTTCTCCCCAGAGTGTGTCCTCTGGTGTGTGATGAGATGTGACTTCCGTGTAAAGCCTCGACCACACTCCCTGCAAACATAGGGCTTCTCTCCTGAGTGTGTCCTCTGGTGTGTGATGAGATGTGACCGCTGTGTAAAGCCTCGCCCACATTCCCTGCAAATATAGGGCTTCTCCCCAGAGTGTGTCCTCTGGTGTGTGATTAGAACTGACTTGCATGTAAAGCCTCGCCCACACTCCCTGCAAACATAGGGCTTCTCCCCAGAGTGTGTCCTCTGGTGTGTGATGAGAACTGACTTCCAGGTAAAGCCTCGCCCACACTCCCTGCAAACATAGGGCTTCTCCCCAGAGTATGTCCCCTGGTGTGTGATGAGATGTGACCCATCATTGAAGTCTTGCCAACACCCTCCATGCTGGATTGTTATAATTTTTGACATTCCTACTTTCACAAATAACTTGCCTGTGTCCTCTGGACTCTCTTTCTGGACTCTGAGGGGCTCTTCCTCCATCATTCTCTCATGCTGACTAGAGCTCATTTGTTCTTTGGAAGGTTGGAAAAAGGGTCTCGAGATTCTCCTCCGACTGATCCTTTTAAGCAAAGGTTTGGAACTTTCTTTGACATCTTGACCTTCAATTTTATCATTCCAGCTGTGTGTACCATGTTGTTGCTGCTGATTCTGATCCTCTGGACAGGGGTCCTCTGCTTGGAGGTGTTTTCTTGCAGATGTTCCAGGGAGAATCTGAGAGGGATGATTGAGTTTCACATGCTGGCTGAGGAATTTCTGAGTGGAGAAGGCCAGAGAGCAGGAGGGACATGGGTGCACCTCTGGCTTTGGTTCTGCTGAAAGAGAAAGGTTTGGTAAGGGCAGATGTTGATGAGAATGCCTGGGCTGTACTTGTCTCCTGGGAAGATCTGCCCCGTGAATCCTTCTTATTGTGGTGACAACACAAGCTCTGTCTCCCACAAAGTGTCCACTCACAATCTATCTTTCTTTTTATTTTTATGCAGTGCATTTTCTTCAGAAATCCAGGAAGCCCACTTCAAGGGTCTTTGCTAACATTGCTCAGACTAGGGACTTTCGAGTAGCAGGAGAGGCAATTTCACTCCCTGAACTGCAGTGACCTTTCCCCTCTACAGGTGTCCTCTAAGTCATGTTAAAGAGGAAAACTAGGAATTGCTTCTCTTTCAGTTTTTCACAACTATAAAATAATCTTTCCTGCTCTTGCTTGTGTGGCTCAGTGGACTGAGTGCCTGCTGTGGAGGAAGGACTCACAGGCTAGATTCCCAGTCAGGGCATGTGCCTGGGTTGTGGGTCAGGTCCCCAGTAGGGGGCGTGTGAGAGGCAACTATGCATTGATGTTTCTGTCTGTCTTCCTCTTCTTCTCTAAAAGTAAATAAAATCTTAGAGTCATTCCTCAAGCCTCACATCAAATATTTATGCTTCATTTCATTCAGTGTTAGTCAATTTCAAAAACACTGAGAAGTCCTGTTTCAAAATAGTTTTCCAACCACACGTCTTACACGCCTGACTCCTGTTCCTCTCTGGCCAATGCACATGCTCTCGCTTGGAGATGAGGTAATCTCTGAGGGGATTCCCCACTGGAGTTTATTTTCTAAAAATTAACAAAGCATAATCAGATCAGAGAACACACCACTCTACAGCTCAAGACTGTACACTTGCACTCAGAAAAGTCCCCAAGTGCCTCAACTCTGGTCATCGGCACTGCATTCTCGGGCTCTTAAACATCTGTCTGATCTCTGTTCTTACCCTCTAGGCCGAGATGAGACCTGAATGACCCTCAGCCAATTCAACGCCTCACTTCTTTTCTTCCCTGCAGTAGCTGCTCCCTCTGCCCACAGGTATTTTTGTAAATGTTCTCTCCTGAGGAGCCCTTCCTGGACCACGTGCCACACCGCACCTCCCCTCACACTGATCCCTTGGCACTTGTCTTGGATTAGTTTTCTCCAAAGCACTAACCACTGTGTAGTGTTATGCACATGCAAGCACGTGTGCCTGGGTTTCCCTCCTTTATTGGTCAGCTCAAGAGCAGTGATTCTCATCCTCATGATAATCTGTATTTCCAGGTCCCAGGATTCTATGCACCACAGGGTAGGATCTCACATGATAATTCACTAAAAAGATGAACAAATGTGTCCTACCTCAATGGTGTGGCTCAGTGGTTTGGGTGTTGTCCCAAAACTGAAAGGTTACAAGTTTATTCCCAGTCAGGGCACATGCTGGGAGTGTGGGCCAGTTGGGGGCATGCTAGAGACAACCGATTAATGTTTCCCTTGCACATTGGTTTTTCTTTCTACATCCTTTCCACTCTCTGAAAAAATAAATCAAATCTTGGTTAAAAAGATTTTATTTATATATTTATTTATTTTCAGAAAAGGGGGAAGGGAGGGCAGCAGAGGGAAACATCAATGTGTGGTTGCCTCTCACATGCCCCCTACTGGGGACCTGGCCTGAAACCCAGGCATGTGTCCTGACCAGGAATCAAACTGGCAACCCTTTGGTTCACAGTATGGCGCTCAATCCTCTGAGTCACAGCAGCCAGGGCAAAATCTTTAAAAAATAATGAATGCCTATAAACAAAAATGTTTTATTTAGAAGTATGGAGGAAAATTAAGAAGAAACAGCTGTAAAAGTGTCAGGAATACTGCCTTGGTGAGAGAATTGGTTAGTGCTTGAAAACTTTTTTTTTTGCCTCTCAGTCTTTCAGTATTATATGCAGTTGTGTATTTTGTTCATGAAATATTTTAAAAATAAAAAATATAAAAATTTTACCTAAGAGTCAAAGGCATATGAATGAATTGTGAATTTCTGAAGCATCTGAGTTGAAACTTTACTGACTTTAGAGTGGATTTTACTCTACTTGGGAGTTGAATCATGAATATTTCTAAGGAGAATTCTCTGTTTTCTTTCTGTTTTGAAGAACAGTGGTGCCCACCTCTCTTGGCCGCAAGCTCTCTTTTCCACTTGCTGCCCCACTTGCTGCCCAGCTCCTGGCCATACTCATCCCCGAACCAGACCAGCAGCTCACAGCCTGGCCTGACAACCCGGCAGGTTCGGTAGAAAATCTGCCTGTGGTATTGAAAGGCCACCAGGTTCTGCTCTTCATCATCCCGGGCACAGTTCACATACCTGGGATTGAGGTAGATGAAGGGAAAGAAAACCACAGTGATGAATTCCCAGTACCTGTTACATCCACGTCCTTTTCCTCACTGACTCTTAAGGCCCTCAGGCTCTGATGTTGCCCACTGACCCTAATGGTCCCAGGGAACCTTCTGTTCAGTGTCTGAGCATCTGTCAGCATGTCATATGAATTCCTACCTCCAAGTCCTGCTTGCAGTGCGAATGCTGCCTAATACCATTTTCTAAAACCCAGTTCTAGAGGTAATCTCCACCCTGACTGGCCATAGTATCCAGTGATCTCTGGCTTCTCCAAGCTCTAAATCAAGTCTCACACCACAGAACCTGGTGCTTGATCTGGGGCTCTGCTTCTAAATTAGCTCAGTAATTACCCAGTACTCAGCCCACATGTGGGAGAGGCCTTTCTCCAACTCCCTTACACTTTATTTATAGAGTACCATTCACTTCCCTGACCAAGGTTACCATAGAAAATTGGAGGTCTTTTTGTCTTAGTAAAATAAAACAGAACAACAGTAGTTGATTCATATTCTGTTATCCCTGATAAAAGAGAGCCCTTCTCAGGAAAGGGGCCCATGACCGTTCCTCTGCAGGCCCCAGAGCCCAGCTCTAGTTAGAAGTGAGGCTGGGATGGTTTGCTGCCCTCACAGGTCTAGGCCACCCTTGGTTTGTGGTATCTTGACACTGTGCACTTCTTGGAAATTATAGTTAAATGCTTCTAAAAGCAATTGTTTTATGTCTGCCCGTGAGAACTCCTCCATAAGGACATGGGTTGTGTGATCTATTTAAGTAATATATTCCTTCACCTAAACTGCAATATAGGAAGTGCTTAATTAATGTTGATTTGACAAATTAAAGTATAATCCAGTGTCCCTGGTAAATCTAGGCTCTTCAAGGTCCTTTCCAGTGTCCACATTGTGTCTAGCGGAGAGCTTTACATTTTGAGGACATTTGCTATACCTTTTTCCTCAATGTCCCCTGAAATGAAAGAACAGTGTATGGAGAAAAAGAGGAAAAAAGGATTAAGGGAGAGCACTGAGGGAGGCAGGATGAGAGGGAAATTTATATATGGGCTGTTGGGGATGAGAGTCCCCTCTGGCCCCAGAGACCTGCTGACCTCACCTCATCCAGTTGGCCCAGGATCTGTCCTTTCCATCCACATACTCATAGCAGTTTCTCCCTTTGGCGATCTGTGTTTCAGAAAAGAAGTTAAAGACCTTTTATTTTTTTGTTGGGGAGGTAAGAGTCAGAAGAATTATTTTACTCTACTGTCATCAAAGCTCTTTCAGCCTGCATGAGGATTCAACTGCCAACTGTGACCATATGATATTTGTCTTACTCATCATCTACACATCTGAGTCTACCTGTCCAATCAGAGCAGGAGCCCCACAAGGGAGGAGCCACTCCTTTGTGTCTGCACCACTTTGCTCCCACTTACCTTCTGATCCTTAAACAGGAGCTCTGTGTTCATGTAAAGTCCAGTCAGTACACAGAGCTAACTATATTGTCCCCTCCATGTCTAGCATGTAGGTGAGGTTTCTCCAAGCCTCAGAAGGAATGTGGGAAGCCAGAGGGCAGTGGAGGAGGTAGATAGTTCTCACCAGCCAGGAGTATCTGCTCTTGGCTGCCTCTTCATCTTCTGTGATGTGTCCTTCATAAGGGCCAAAGTGCAGACCCACTGGCAAGTCTGCTGCCTCATTCCACACTCCAAGGCCAGCCTCAGGGATGCCGGATGGCCCAATTCTCAACCCAGGGGGCAGGGTGAGGGCTGAGCAGTGGGGATGCCCCTTGTCCACTGCAGTGTCCTTTACAAATGTAGGGGGCCCATGCACAGCACAGCTGTCGATGAAGAAGTTCTGACACTTCTCACAATCTGGAGGCAAGAGCAACAGGGGTTAGGGAAGGTATAGCACATGTTCCTGGACACAAAGAGCTTCAGAGGGAGTCCAGCACTGACATCATTGAGACTCAATCTTATACTCCAGGTCACTAGAGGAAAGGAATGATTTGGGGACCAAAGGACCACATGAAACTATTGTAGCATAACATGCTTCTTAGTGAGGGTCACTTACAAAGGTAGTCATCATCCTGGGGCATGCTGACCTCTTGGTACACACAGTCCTTTCTTTCTTGTGGGCTGTACATCTTCACGTCCATCTCCTTTCTTTTGAGTTCTAAATTGGAGAAGGGCAGGTAAGTGAGGATGGTGGAGTCTAGAGTGTTAGTTCCCATTTTGTCAGATAACACAATCTCCTCCCATCAGATGATTACCCATCCTTTCGCATACTCTGGTATTTTACTCCATTAACTATTGCTTCAGAAGACTAAGACTCTAACTACAGATGACTGATTCAATTTTAGTTTCTAGATTTTACCATTACCAGCCAATCTATCCCATTTAACTTGCCAATCTTAATCATTCATAAATATTTATGGAGTGCACGTTACATTTTAGGCACTGAGTAAAGGCCTAGGCACACAACACCAATAAAGTGTGGCTGCTATTATCACAATGGATTTATTGGACAACTTGTATGTCACCTGTTTTAAATTCAACTTAATGTTTTCAAACAATATACGAATGATGTTTCCTTATCTTCACTTTACATATTAGCATTCAGGAGCTCAGAGAATTTATAGGATTTGCCCAAAGGTCCAGTGGTAACTTCAGTCTCAGCTTAGCCCAGCTTAAATCCAGGCCTACCCAAAGTCTACCCCACAGACCTAGGTCATACTTATCAGCCCTTCTATAGGACTTAGAGGAACTAAAGCTTCCAAATTATTTTCTCTTACCCAATTTTTGTCTAGTGTGCTTTCCAAAGGCACATGCTTCTCCAGGAGGGGACACTGGTTTCTGGGCATGCTCTGAGTCACTTGCAGTCATCAAATTTGCTGTTCCTGACAATTCCTTCAAACTATATTCATTGCTTAATGGCACCCTGGATGTTGCCTTCAGTGTAAGAGTCACATATTAAAAGATAACATGTATTTACTTTTTTAAGGCTTATTATATATTTTACATGCATGTCTTTAATACTTCAACCCTTGGAAATACCTAGGGAGTATGAATATTAGAGGGGATAGGGCCAATGTGGGTAATGAATCCAAGATTAGAACCCATGCCGATGGCTCTTTTCTTTCAACTGTCTCTATAATATTGAGAGTGAGGGATATTGGGAAGAGAATAAGGAAATAGTTGGCAGAAACATATCTAGACAATAAATACAATGGTGATCAAGTTTGCAATACCTTAGAAAGAATATTTGTACTTAGATTAGCTGGTTCCCACCAATTGTTTCAATAAGGCTGTACCAGTAGCTAGTTGTCTTCAGTGTCCTGATATATAACATACCAATTTTTAATGTTATAGTGAACGTGCAATGAAATAATGTTCAACAAAGTGGTCTGTGAATTGTGTAATACAGCATGAATGTGCTGCTGTCAATTTACCCCTCAGCTCTCTCCATATTCAAATCTCACAGAAATTACCTTCAGCATTCATTAATCATCTTCTAATTTAATGTGTAATTGTGAAATCGTTCATTCAGCAAACATTCGGGGGCCCTCAAGAGCCCTGATCTGGACCTGTGACCTCTAAGACGTCTCAGGTATGGACCAAGCTCTCAAAGAGCTCACAAAGCAGAGGTAGGCAGGCTGAACAAATGATTCTAAACAGGATGAGAGTGGTCTCATTAGAGCTCAGACAAAGAAGCTGTTACTTCACTCTATAAGAAAGGGCATTTGAAATCAGTTCCAGACTGATGAGTTTCTATTGAGGAGTGTGTAACCTATATGAAGTTTTTAAGTCATTTTATTATTTGTTGTTCCTCAGTCACGAAACCTGAACCTCTTCAGGGGTGGGAGATGCTCTTTGATTAGAGTGGGAGGCTGTGATCCTGGGCATTTTACATTCTTCTTCATCTGGGACCATCCACTGTACCAACTGCCTGCACATTGTACACTTTCCTCAGTCAGAGGGTCTTAGTGCATCTCTCACTTCAGCACAGCAGAGAAGAACTTTGGTTGAAATCATCAGTCAGATGAATGATCTAATGACATATGCATAACACAATGTAAACTTTAGAAAACTATGAAAGTTTATTTTCCTAGTTTTTAAAAAAGATTTTGTTTATTTTCTTGAGAGAGAGGAGGGGAGGAAGAGACGGAGAGAAACATCGATGTGAGAGAGAAACTTTGGTCACTTGCCTCTTGCAAATGCCCCAACCAGGAACCTAGTCTACAACCCAGGCATGCGCCCTGATCAGGAATCAAACGGGTGATCTTTCCCTTTGCAGGATGACACCCAACTGAGTCATGGTGGCCAGGGTAAAACTATGAACCTTTTAATGAGTTTGTAAGTGGTTTAGAAAAGCAACTATGGGTTGGATTGCACTACCACTGATACTGTGATCTTAGACATATAGTCAAACATTTCTGTATCTCTGAAAGTTCACTTTTGTCATTGTAAATGGCAACAGTTACAGTACCTTCCTCATCAGGTGGTTGTAATGTGTGAGTTGATTCACAAAGAACTCTTAAAGTCTGAAACATTGTGAGAATGAAACAAATGGTAGTTACTATTGTTGCTATAGTTGTTAACCATTAAAATGATGATGAGCCCTGGCTGGTGTGGCTCAGTGGACTGAGCCTGCAGGCTGAAAGGTCACCAGTTCCATTCCCCGTCAGGGCACATGCCTGGGCTGTGGACCAGGTCCCCCACTTGGGGACGTGTGAGAGGCAAGCTATTCATATTTCTCTCCCTTTCTTTCTCCCTCTATTCCCCTTTCTCTAAAAAGTTGATAAATAAAATCTTTAAGGAAGGATGATAATGTCAGACAGTGTGTTGGAGAGACCAGGAAAGGAAAGCATCAGTTCGTAGGATACTTTCCCTGCTCTTACCTGCGTTTCTATCCATCAGGAAAATTTTGTTGTCAACAGGATTTGGGAAATACTCACCTTCTGGTGTTTACTGTGTTTCCTTCTGCAGGCCACCCAGGAAGGTTTCACTGAAAAATGATGAGAAATCAGTGTTTTGGTTGGTAAATGTGTCCAAAATCTGGAGATTCTTATTAGGGACACAATTCTGAATGACAATAGTCCAAGAACAACCCCAGGATGATTGGAAAATGTTTTCTGAGGTATCATTAATGCCTAGGCTTCTATTTGGGCCATCCACTAATTTCATTAGAATGATAACAGAAAAATAGACAAAGTGTTATCTATGCTTCACCCTTTGTTCACAAAGCATCTATTACATTTATTAAAAAAAATAAATTGGCCTCTCCTGACAAAAATGTAGTAAAACTAACTGCACAGAAACTCCATGTCTTCCACATAACCCTTTCTCCGTCCTGTTGTCTTCACTCAAACTGGCCTTGTCCCGGCTGAGGGCACCTCGACCACCCGGCCTCCTTTCTCTGGTATCCTCCCCCCTGGGCACATACCGGCCACCCACGCCCTTCCTCAGTCATTAGACTCCGGTCAGCACCCACAGTGTGCGGACCCCAGAAACAGAATTCCAGTGAAGCTGAAGATCACATCTTGACCTCAGCTGTGTGTCAACCCCAGACCCATGAAAGTGGACCGACCCCACCCTCCGAACACTCACGATACTGGACAGAACATGGGGCCGACATCAGGAAACCACACGGAGGTCAACCCCTCCCGACCCCGGCCCCCCCACTCCCGTCATCACCAGGGTGAACACTGTTCCCGCCCGTCCGTCTCCATGCGGGCCACCGCGCAGCCAGGTGTGGGGCCCTCCTCACCGGCCAGACCCGCCCCCTCCCTTGCGATGACGACTCTTCTGAATTAGTTATTTCTCGCTCACTTTATGTTCTTACACATTCACTGCTTACTAATGCGTCTATAAATACATGTGATTACGTCGCCCACGTGAAAGTTGACGGGAACAGCCCCTCACTGTGCGACACACTGTTGTGCCTCTTGCTCGTTCGCTGCACCAGCAAACCTGTTCCCTGGTGACGTCCTGAGACGCCGCCCGACCCACACCAGGTCCGAGCCGGGAGGGCAGCGCTGGCTCCTCCCGCCGCTCACCGTGCTGCCTCGGAGTCCGTTCTTCATCGGAGTCCTCAGGGTCGTCCTCCTCCTGGAGCTCGGTGGGCCGCCTGCGGCGGTGACCCAGGAAAGCCGGTCGAGGGGCCCTGAGACCTGGAAAGAGACGAAACCTCTGTCCTGAGGCAGAGAGCGTGGGGGAGGGACAAGCCCAGGAAGCCCGTGGGGCTGGCCCCGAGGGGGTGGCAGAGTGAAGTGAGTTGCCGTGAGCCCCGCACCCTCGTCAGCGCCGCCCCGCTCTGACTGAAGGAGCAGACTCCCTGCGACCCCTGTCCGGGCGGGAGGGAGCTGCAGGCGGATGGAGCCGCCTGAGCCGGGGCCAGCCCGGCGCCTGCCGGGTCTCCAGGCCCCTGGGCCCAGCGCCTGGGCACGCGCTACCTGGGCTGGTGAGCGCGTCCGAGTTCCTCTTCAGGTTTCAGTACCGGCCTTTCTCCCCGAGGGCAGGGCGCCCGGAGAGGGGGACCGAGAGGTGGTGGGGCGGAGCTGCCAATGGGCGCGCCCTGGTTCCCGCCCCCCCCCCGGCGCGTGCTGCCTCAGGGCGGGCTCGGCAGGCCGCGACCTGGGCATCTGAGGGGTCCCGGGCGGCCGGGCGGGCCTGTGGCGGCGCAGGGAACGCGCTTCTCCCAGGGAAGGGCCCGGAGGAGCCCCCGGGGTCCGGAGAAGCCCGCGCGAGGCGCAGGCGCAGTGTCCGGCAGGCAGACCGCCGTCTCTCGGGCTGAGAGGCTCGGGGTCCCTCAGGACACGATCTGCGTCTTCAGGGCTGAGGACACTCAGCGTCCCGGGGGAGAGGGTCAGGCCGCCGCGGCTGAGGGGAGTTGGGGCGTCTCACGAGGGGCGTCCGGGTCCCCTCCACTGAGTCGGTTTCCAGGCCGACGGCATTCGGGGTCTCTGGGTTTGGGGAGATTTGGTCTTTCCGGGCGGGCGGGCTGCAGGAAGGGCGCCCCGAGCTGAGGGGAACTGGGGTTCCAGGCTGTTTGGGGGTCTGAGCGTTGGGGGTCAGGAGACGTGGGTTAGCGGACGCGCGCCCCCCCTGGATGAGGGCATCTGGGGTCTCTCGGGCTGGACTTGGAAGGTCTCTGGCTGAGGGTCCCCCAGGGCAGGGCTCCCCGCTTACCGGTCCGTCTCTCGGGGACCCTGCCGCGCTGCCCACCTCGGCCGAGTGTCCACTCAGGGCTCCTGGGCTTCCTGCCCTGGGAAGGAGGTTCCATCCAGGACAGCCGCGCGGGCACAACCCGCCAATCAGTGCTGGGGTCCCAGGGCCCTGCCCGCCAATGGGCGGTCAGAAGAAGCTGACAGGGCGGGGCAGAGGGGCGGAGCCCCCTGGGTACGGGACTGGCAAGCGTAAGACCCGCCCCGCCCCGCGGGGATTGGCTACCCTGGGTCTCCCGAGCGCCAGTCACGCAGCCTGCAGCTCAGTGGCTTGTTTTCCAGCAGCCGGTGAGGGGTCCGCCTCGCAGGAGGTGGAAGCCCGAGGTGGAGGCGGGACATTAGGGTGGACGTGGCCCTCCTGCCGCCTGACAAAGTGTCCACCAGACTGTGGTCAGGATCCCCAATTTATGTCTACGCCCGTCCGTGCCTTCCCCCACCCCCCGCTTTTCAAACCCACTTTCAGCTAGAGCTGCCTAAACAGTGAGGACGCGGTCAAGACTGCATTGCGTTCCGTGGAACTTTAAGTCAGTAAATCCTGACCATGCAATTCATAGACACAAAATAAGTCCTAGGAGGGCTCAAACACTTAAACACAGCAAATAGAATAAGTATACTGGAAAACGCACTGGGAGAATTTCATGTCTCAAAGAAGTAGTGTTATGATTAATAGGTGTGTTTAAATAATTCAGGTGTAAACACATTTCAGAAATAGGAAGATGAGATAAGACCAAATAAAACTAAATAAATTTAGAAATGCTGGGCAAACCTACAAGTATTTTGCATAAAAATAACATCCTATTTGAGTACAGGGGTTCACAGAGCAGGGTCAGTTTAGCTGCTACTGGCTTTCACGGGATAAGGTGGGAAGAGTGTTTCTGGTCCTTACCTCGTTTTGAGCAGGTAAATATAACTTGATTTCCATGGACTGGAAATGAGCCAACTAATTATTACTGTGAAAGTGCATAAAGGGAAACCACACTAAAGTGGAGTTGGGGGTCAGTGGGGGTGCTGTTATATATCATCACCCAGGGTCAATTACAGGAAAAATTGTCTGTCACAGGCCCCAACATGAAGAAGATACTGTGTGCTCCCAGGAGAAACCGACTCCCCAGCAACTTAGCCAGAGAGAAACCATCATCCCCCTAAACTGACGCTTTCCTCCAATGCACTTTCACTTGAAATGACCCCTCCCAACTTCCTCCTTTCTTCCTGTAAAACAACATTCCTCTCCTTTGCTTGTGGAGCTGGCCTATGATTTTTCCTACAGCTTGATGTCCTAAATTGGATTTTTTTACTGTTTCTGAATAAACCCCTTATCTGCTGGTAAAATAACTGACTGCTATATTTTTAAGGTCAACATAATTTGGTGGCCCATATGGAGATCCAGAGGACTCCTGACATCTCTGAGGCTGATGAGCAAGCAGGTGCAGTGTCCTTGCTCTGAAAGACTCTGGGAAGGGTCCTTTGGTGCAGACTCGCCAGTGATCATTTTGAAAATAGCCATCCAGAAATAACATCTTCATACCCTCTGATCCACAAATTCCACTTTTCAAAATTTTCCCCTAGTAGCCCTGGCTTGGTAGCTCAGTTGGTTACAGTGTCCTGCCTATATGCCAAGGTGGTCAGTTCATTCTCCAGTCAGGGCACATACAAGAAGCAACCAATGAATGAATACATAAGTGGAACAGCTAACTCTCTCTCTCTCTTTCAAATTAATAAATGAAATGAAAAGAGAAGCATTAAAAATTCCCCCCTAGTGATGCTTCCCTGTGTATGAAATGAAGTATGTTTAATATATTTTATCCAACAAATAACAACAGATAAAATTTTAAAGTTTTCAGTAGAAGAGAATTTGTTAAATTATGGTTTGCTCACATTGTGAAATATTATAGAACATTAAAAATAGGTGAGAATATATGATATTTCATTAAAGAAATAAAACCTAGTGAGGTGGTTCTAATGGATTTTACGAGAGAATAACTTCCTTTTTTTTAGATTTTATTTATTCATTTTAGAGAGGGAAGAGAGGGAGAGAGAGAGAGAGAGAGAGAGAGAGAGAAACATTAATGTGCGGTTGATGGGGGTTATGGCCTGCAACCCAGGAATGTACCCTGGCTGGGAATCGAACCTGGGACACTTTGGTTCCCAGCCCACGCTCAATCCACTGACCTACGCCAGCCAGGGCGAGAATAACTTCTAAATAATGTTATTATGTGAGAAAAGTATTCTGCAGAACAAATTATGTTTAAAAAAACCCACTCAGGTAGAGGACATGCTGAGAGGAGACAGAGGGACTACTAACTGGGATCAGGGCCTTGGGCAACGTAGAGGGGAAAACTTGCTTTTCCTTCCTGTCATTTGGAATGTTGTGTCATTTTGAGACAGCATAGGAAGAACTCCAAGACTGCAATATTGTCACTGGCCAGCACTTAGCACCCTGGTTGCCAGGAAACACCTTTTACCAATTAGGTAGAATAAATAGTAAACCGAGGCAGGGAGGAGGAAGGAGACAAGTCTCACATGCTAACTCAGCAGTCCTGACCCTGTTCTGATAATATTGCCAGGTGTTCCAACATCACAAGAAACACCATATTAGCAATAAAGAAGGAAAGTCCTTGAAGTTTTGTGTAACATTTCCAGTATCTGGGAAAGAAAGCCTTGAAACTGTGCTTTCATCCCAAGGCCTGTATGTGGGAGAGGGTCCCCAGTGCCCACAGAAAGAGCCCATAAAACAGCTTTGGTTAATTGCCTACCCCTGGTCACTATCTATTTTACGAGGGAGTCCCTGCTTACAGAAAGAGCCCATAAGTAACTTTGAAAAGTGCTCCAATTTTAATTAACTGCCTCCTGTCATGTATTTGTTTTACAATAGGATGACCAAATGGAGTCTGGAGCAAGGTAAGGATTCAGGCTGATAGACCCCCATTCATCCCTAAGTTTGGGTAGTCACATTCCCCCAGGAAAGCTGGTGCCATATTTACCCATTAATCAATATGTGACTTTTTTCCCTCCTACCCCACCAACTATATAAGTCCTAAGAACAAAGGTCTCTCTCTCGGGAGCTCTTGGCTTCGAGCCACAGGGCCTTTGGCCCCCTGGCCTCAGGCTGCTCAGGGGCTTGCCACCCTGGTCTTCAGGTGCTCTTGCTTTTCTCACCCTGATTACTCTGAAACTTTCCCTTTCACCCCCTGATCTACCCAGTCCTGTTCTCTTCCATGGAAGCAAACCACTAATACACTGATTACATGCTACTAGATTTGCTGATATGTAATTCTTTACATGCGTCAGCAAGAAGAACCAGGTCTCTCCTATCAACAATTTGTTTTCTCCTTTACTTAAATCTATCTATAAATATTTTTGTAGATAAAAGAATGGATGAGAAATAGTTGGTTATATATGTATGCATGTAAAAGTGACTCAACAAAAATTCTGCACACCCTCATTGCATCCAGTGGTTAATGCTGCCTTCCTTATCCGAATAGCATGTTGACCACCCAAAGTGTCCAATTTGCATCCAAAACTATTCCAGCAGGAACATTTCTGTGGGGGAGCTTTTCCTGCAGAGCCCCCCATTTGCCACGGATGAGAATAAGTATACCAAGACATGATCTGCTTAGGAAGGAAAGGTGGTTGGCCTCTTAAAGGAGAAGGACTTGGAGCCTTTTCCTCAATGGGCTTTTATTAGGTTCATTTTACACAGAAATACAGGTAAAGCTCATTAATCATTGTCATGCAGTAAGGATCAAGCAATAGACAACATACAAAGAACTATTAAGGCTTATTCTGAGTCAGGGTTTGTTAGCTAAAGGGCTACAAAACTTTGGGAAACAAATCATTTCCTACTCATACCCTTATTGTTTAATTGAGAGCATTCTTAGCAAAGCATGTTTCTCAGGATTTTATATATTCTTTCTTATGTCTGATCACCGGGGGAACCCACCCTTTCCAGCACAGGGCTGCACCACCCTCTGTCATTGTTTCAGGCTTAAGTCAGGCAGGGGAAGTAAGGCAGCCAAGAGATTAGGAGACTTCTTGCAGACAGAATGAGGACTCAGGACATGTCAAAGCCGAGGGGTGAGGGTCCATCACCCGCTTTTTCCATAGCCCCCCAAGTCCCTCCCTGGGGCATCCCTGTGATCGTGCCTGTCTTTGATCATTCCCCCCTTGGGAATCTTACCTGACATTGGCTAACAGATCAAGCATTGGATGCCAGGCAGGATGAAGAAAAAGGAGTGGAAGCGGTGCCTCCACTAGGGATAAATCTGCTCTCTGTCTGTCTGCTATAAACTTCCTGTATTCAATTTTTTTGTTTGCGATCATCAAGAACCTAGTTACCTGTGCCCACCTTACCTGTGCTCACCTGTGACAGGTTGTGGGTCAAGTCGCCAGTTGGGAGCATGTGAGAGGCAAATGATAGATGTTCAAAGTGAAAAATAAATGAATAAATTAAAAAACTCAAAGAAAACAAAACACACATTTTATGTGGATCTGTATGTATTAATGGACCCTGTATTCTTTTCCAGCAATCTTTCTATTCAGAGGGCATTACTCAACTGTTGCACTTACTGTAGCTTTGTAATACAATGCACTTTTTAATTCTTCTTTATTTTAACAGGTAAACTTAAATTGAGCTTGTTTTACTTTAAAAATTTTTACTGAGCCCTGGTCAATGTGGGTCAGTTGGTTGGAGCCTTGTCTTGTTATGTAGGATAGATAGCAAACCAAGCCAAGGAGGAGGAGGGAGACATGTCTCATCTGCTGACTCAGCCGTCCTGAGCCTGATATGATAATAGTGCCAGGTGTTCGGAACATCACAAGAAACACCATGGTGGCACAGGAAGAGGGAGCCCGTGAAATTCTAGGTATCATTTCCACTGTCTGGGAGAAAAAAAGCCTTTGAAACTGTGTTAATTCCAAGGTCTGGTTGGTGGGTGGGAGGGGGTCCACAGAGCCCAAAGAAAAAGCCCAGAAAACAGCTTTGGTTACTTGCCTACCTCTGGTCACCATCTGTTTTATGAGGGAGTCCCTAATGTTTACAAAAAGAGCCTGTAAATAACTTTGGGTGACTGCCCCA